TCTTAAGAACTGCTGGGAATATGAATATTCATAATTAGCCGGTTTTGGATGCATGCTATAATGAGGAACAAAGAATGAATTTTTTTAATTATGAAACCGACAGTGGCAGTATCAGCTTTACCTCCATGGTTATTCCCAATGCCATTGGTCGATTTGCACTTGCTGGGAGAAATAAATGATCATCAGAGGAGGATCTCAAAATATTTGTTGGTGGAACAATATTTAGATCAAGAGTTATCATTATTGTACTTGAATATTTACTGCTCAAAAGATCCTGAAACTGGGTATAACAGCTGCAGCAGCTGCACTATAAAGTAGGTAAAAGAAAATCTAATAATTTATCTGTTTACTCATCAGAATTGATAGCAATTCAATTGGCTCTTCAATGGGCGGAAGAGGTTCATTAAAGTGGTTATTGGTGCTTATTCTTTATCAAGCTTAAAGCTTAAAAACCTCATAAGCTTAAAAATGGAAAATCTGACTCAAGACGGGATATTCTCATAGAAACCCTTCAGATCCTGTTCAGAATTCAACATCAAGGAATTAAAGTCTACTTTTTGGGGATTCCTGATGTGGAGATTATGGAAAACAAAATAGCTGCAAAAAATGCTTTAAAGTCTTCAAGAATATACTTCTTTACATCATATAAATGTATTCCCTTTCCTTTCTGTGTCCACATCTCTTGCCATCCATTCTTAATTAGCTTTTTGATTAACTCTATTCTTAATTAAAGAATAGAGTTATTAATTAAGATAGCTTTAATTAATTATTAAATCTTAATGAGCTTTTTCATTTCGGCTTGCCCCAGAGGAACAATAACATTTACAAGACATTTATATGACTTAAAGAAGTAGGTATTGTGAGAGAAGTTTGAGGCAAAAGAAGGGATGACACAATAATTCCTCGACTTCGTATTGGACACAAAGCTTTGAATCAATCACTTTTTAAAATTTGTAAAGTATTACAGGATTGTGCAGCAAATGTGATTAACCAGTCTAACGTGTTTTTTCTAAAATGTGTTGGTTATAATAAAGAAAGATCTCAGCTCATAAAAGAGGTTGTATAAAAAGGTTTGTATTAAATAATTTATTGAACAATAATTCGAAAGTGACCACTTTTATTAAAATACCTAAAGAATGTTTGATTTACTCTCCATGTATGTGGCGGAAATGCACCAAAACCTCTATTAAATTCAAAAGAAGAAGAACATAAACATGAATTGAAAACAAGAACCAAAATCTAGACATAAGTGACAATTATCAATAAAATCTCTTACAAAGATCTCTGAAATTACAAATTTTATATCATAAGTTTTCATTTTGAAAATGAGGATCTCCAACATGACAACTTCTACACAAAAATTGTCAATAGAATAGAAAGCCTGAAAGTAAATGAAAGTAAAAAATATTTGTAAGCAAGTGGGTTGCAGCAATAATGGCACGGCTCAGGAAATACAACAAAAAAGCAATCTTTAATTAATATATTCAACAGGAAATCTCAGGAGATATAATACACATTGTTAAACACACACAATGAACAGTCAATGAACAGACAGAATTAAGGGTTTAAATCAGACAGAGTAATCAATGTAAAACAGAACAGGTGTAGATCTAATAAACAACCAAGGAGACTAACTGAACACAGACGGGCAGGCAAGACAGGGAAAACCAAACACAACGACAATAAAACCAAACATAACCGTTACAATAATTCATATTCAAAATGGTTTATGAGTTGAATATCCATCAATTTTGTTACAAATTTTCTATGTACACTATACCTTTCAAAAGTTTGGAGAAAGAAGTATCTTATGCTCACACATTTATTTGATCAAAAATACCCCAAAAAACAGCAATATTGTCAAAATGTATTTTTGAAAATTAAAATGCAATTTATTCCTGTGATGCAAAGCTGAATTTTCAGCATCATTGCTCCAGTGTTCGGTGTCAAGTGATCCTTCAGATTTTTTTTTTTTTTTTTTTTTACAGTGTAGCATAAACCTAATTTAAGACTTCTTTTTTTTTTATAAAAAAAAAAACTGCAGTTTTTATTTATTTTTAAATAAGGCTTCATTTAGGGTCTAACCACTGGTGTTGCCACTCGCCCTCAGTTTCTTAGTTTCATGCCTCCATCTGAGCCCATGCTAGACGCTGGAGGCTGTCACATGGACACCTACGGTATGACAGGCAATTTAGTTGAGTTAAACTCACATCCTGGGCAGCGATGAACCAGCAGCTGTTATGCTGGCAGGACAGAACTGGAGTATCGCAGGGGGGGGGGGGGGGGCTCAGAAAAGCAATGGCCATAATCAGAGCTCCGCTGATAAAGAGGCATGCAACCCTGTCTTTCCTCCGATAAGACCCGGAAAAGCTGATTATTCTATCCCTGGTCTCTTTCTCGCATGCTCTCTCTCCCTCTCTCTGTCATTCTCCTTCCATTGTGGCCGGAGGACAAGGTCTGTTATTTTTAGAGATGTGCGTGCATGTTATCTGACTTGTTCTTTTCAACGCCTCTGAAGAGTGAGCCACTATTGTAACTGTGTGACCTTTCTCTTTACCTCGCAGTGGCCCCATATTTGACTTGAATTGACAGTCATCCACAGTACACATTCTATTAAATTTCATCTGTAAATACTGGCTCAGTTGGATGTGCATGGTCGAGAGGGGGAATTGTGTTTACTTATATGTGTGGAGAGGCCAGAGATGCCCAAGGACAATCTATTAATCATTTGAAGTGGCAGCAAATGTGGATCTCCCAAGTCTTTGCATGCATGCACACCATGCACCCTTACCTCTCTATGTCAAGCAAATTGTGCCATTCTGCACACTAAGCAGAGCACTTTTGTGTTGTCAATCAAGGGTGACATCAGCCTTTACAAAAATAGTACACACACACACACACACATAAACAAAATTAAAAACAAAATTATAGGTTTGGGTACACTGTAAAATTTTTTTTTTTTTAAAGATGCTGCCTTAAATTTTTAAGTACAATCAACTGGTTGTTTAAGTCATTTCAACTTCAATTACAATAAACTGACTTAAAAAGTTGAATCTTGTATAATTTATAAAAAAAGTTGAAAATGTATTCATTACTTCAATGAGCTTGTTGTTTCTGCCTTAAATTATTACATTATTTAAAATGGCTAACTGTGTGATTTGTAAGCTATATGTTTCTGAAATACATCAATTAGACAGTTAACTCTGATAACAGATCACTCTAAATTGTAATGTGGATTTTCTGTAAAGCTGCTTTGAAACGATGTGTATTGTGAAAAGCACTATACAAATAAATGTGAATGTGAATAAATAAATGTTTTTATGAGTTAAAGCAATGTTACGCATGCTGTCATATAACATATTGATTCTATATTTTTTGTATGTGTTGCCATAACAAAACCATTCTGTGGTTGAAAAATGACAATTCTGTCATCATTTACTCACCCTCAAGTTGTTGCAAACCTGTATGAGTTTCTTTCTTCTGCTGAACACAAAGAAAGATATTTTGAAGAACGATTGGAACCAAACGGTTATATGGCACCATTGACTTCCATAGAAAAACAATACTATGGAAGTCAATGGTGCCAAAGTTCCAATCGTTCTTCAAAATATCTTCCTTTGTGTTCAGCAGAAGAAAGAAACTCATACAGGTTTGCAACAACTTGAGGGTGAGTAAATTATGACAGAATTTTCATTTTTGGGTGGAGTATCCCTTTAAAAAAGGTTCAGTGGGTTAGGGTTCTTGACTCAAATAAATTTATATTAATAAATTTAAATTTAAAAAGGTTCTATAAAAGGAGAAATGTTTTAAATGATTGCTACATTCTTGTGATAATGTATGTTTGCGAGCTGTTTAATTCATACAAATTCATCAAAATAAACAATGAATTAAAACAAATATAATTAATTAAAACTACTTTCAAAAATAATCACATGATGGGAACCTCTAAAAGGTTTTATATGTCGCCTGCCAGAACTTGTCAATTGAACCTTCTAAAGTTTTTGTCTAAAAGTGATATAAGATAAAATATAAGATAAAATTAAGATAAAAGAGTAACACTTTACAATAAGGTTCATTAGTTAACATTAGTTAATGTATTAACTAACATGAACTAACAATGAACAAAACATTTATTAATCTTTGTTAATGTTAGTTAATCAAAATACAGGCGTTTACAGCGCAAAAGTACTGGTTCATGTCCTCACTGAAACACATGAGAAACATTGGTCCTTAAATATTATTATTATTTTAAAAATTCGCAAATATTTAGGGGGGAATTCAGGTTGATATATGGACACTTTTCCCCATCATCTCAATGGTAAAAGTGTCCCAATCAACCTGATTCCACCATATTTTGATTTATATTGATAAGTAGTAAAGAATAAGTTAAAAATAGTGAACATTTATTTGAAAGTGTCTAAACTTAATTTTGTTTACCAAATTATAAATTATAAAAACGTCACATAATTGAGAAAAAAGCTGTGCATTTTTTAAAAATCTATAGCCTAATATTAATAATAATAATATTTCTTATAATAATAATAACACTAACGTGCTTGAACGTAATGCGTAAACACGACTTTATTAATTAATTACAAAAATGTTAATTATTATTAGTATTGTTGTTGTGTTAATATTTTAATTGTTATTCTACACAAACCAATTGCATACATTATTGAAAAGCCTTTATTATGTTCTTTCGAAAAGGTTACATATCAAACTTACACAGGCAATAATAACAAAACCTTAATTCGAGTCGTATTCGTGCGGTAGGCTACTTTATGGCTATACACAAAAGAAAAAAATGCTTATAATAGTAGGCTTGTTCCTTGATGTCCTTTTATAAATTGGTTGCAGTCTAACATTGATCTATCCACGTCCAATTTGAAAGAAAGAAAGAAAGAAAGAAAGAAAGAAAGAAAGAAAGAAAGAAAGAAAGAAAGAAAGAAAGAAAGAAAGAAAGAAAGAAAGAAAGAAAGAAAGAAAGAAAAAGAAACTTCGCACGAGCTTTACAGGCCTCATAATAGGCTACAATCTGGTGAAAATTATAAATTAGGCTATAATATATTCTTTGTGCGGTTAATCTCTCATCATTTAACTCAAGTGCAGGCAAATTATTCAGACAGTTTTTAAAGTAGCCTACGGGAAAAATTAAAGCCAATGAACCTTTCTTGTATCTGACAGAGCAAAACCTTCTCGGCCAGGATTCGGTCTATTCAAATAATCATCAATTATGAAAATATCGTTTGAGTGTAAATGTCCATAGAAATGACATGCAGGTAATGTCGGGTTTTTTTTTCACCACGCTCGGATGCCGTGTAGTGAGGGAACCCCGCTGCTGGACTGGATAGAAGCCTGGACGTTATTCAGATCCCCAACTCCAAAGTTCATGTAGCTGCTGTTTGACTGCGAGGGCGGGATGCTGGACATGCTCGATGGATAGTTACATGAGTAGTTCGTGTTGCCTGGACTCGGGAAATTACTAAACGCAGGGTATGTGTTGTAGGTGAAATGATTGATCCCCACATTATACGAGGTGTTATACGTGGACGTGTCTCCCAGGCACGGTTTCCCATCCCGAACCAGCACCGGCACCGAGATGCGTCTCGGCGGGGCGATGCCCACCATCTCCAGGGTCTGATCCTGACGCTGCCTCTTGCACTTATAGCGTCTGTTCTGGAACCAGATCTTCACCTGTGTGGAGGTGAGCTTGAGCACGTTGGCTAAATGATCTCTCTCAGGTGCAGAGAGGTATTTCTGCTGTTTGAAGCGTCGCTCCAGCTCGTACACCTGCGCTTGAGAGAAGAGAACACGAGGCTTCCTCCTCTTCCTCTGTTTGGGTCGATCCGCATCATCCAGCTTCAGATCTTCACTCGGATCTTCCTGGGAGCAGCTGATGTCTGAAAATAGTCGATAATCAATCAGAGTTTATTTAACTGATAGAATTTAGTGGGACACACTGTCAATTTATCATCAGCATATATAACATCTTTCTTTCCACACTGTGAAACATTATATGATCAATAAGTTATGACAACATTTTTACATTGCTTTAACTCATCAAAATAAGTTAAGCAATTTTCAACTTTTTTAAGTTATACAAGATTCAATTAATTTTTAAAGTCAATTTAATGTAGGCCTAATTTAAGTTGAAAATGACTTGAACATCCAAGTTGATTGCACTTAAAAATTTAAGGCAGCAACTTTTTAAAATTAATCATTTATTGGCTACTTGTTTAAAAAAATAAAAATAATATTGACTAAAAAGTGCAGCGACCTTTTCACTTCAGGCTGTAGCTTTTGAACCTCTTGGATTAAAAAAAACAAAACAAAAAAACAAATAAAACTTACTTTAAAACTTATACATTTTCAATAGTGAGTTAAATTTTGTGCACTTTATGGCAGGCCTATACTTGTATTTAACAGTAGTCGTGCAGTTTAATCATGAACTTCATTTTCTGGTGAAAAACGATTATTCATTTCTAAAGCCGAATAAAAAGAATTAAAAATCACAATAAACATTATGATTTATGGCTTAGTAATTAATTAGCCTATAAGGCTATAATTGATTGAGACAAGTGGAAACTCTTTGGGAAACACGCAAATGTTTAAACAATTCAATATAGGCTGTACATTGTTTTTTTATTTGTTTGTTTTTTTCCATTTGAGATTTTAAACAAACAGGAAACACAAAGTTTCCAATAAATGTCCGACTACTCACCTTTTTTCTCTTTGTCTTCAAACGTGTCATCCGTCTTTGCGTCTTTAACATAGTCCATTTCTAAGAAAGTCTTCCCATAAAAGGCAGCAGTTCCGAAGTTCTTGTTGCCTTTGTCGTCATGCAGGTCTTCGCTGAAGAGAGAGGCTCCGGATGGCATTTCCATGAACTGCTCTTGTTTGAAAGTGGACAGCATGCAGGATGAGGTCGGAAGGAGAGCACTGTCCAGCCGCTGAGACATGTCCAGAGAGACCATGTCCTCCTGATTCTGCTCCAGGTTCAATATGTCCCGCACTGAGAAAGGAGTGGAAGTCATTTGGCTGGAAAACATTGCCATGGAGTGATGGTCCTCTTGGACAGTCCGGTTGGCATTTATCAAGAGTGCCTAGTCGTTTAATGAATAGGGTTAATCTGTTGTGTTTAGAGGTCTCACGTTCATCTTTCTTGTAGACCCCTCATAACACACTTTCGGGGTGTAAGGTAACTCTAAATGACGGCATAGGCTACTGTCGGGAGGCAGAGGGCGGGGTCAGCTGAGCGTACGGCATTTCACAGCTTTTTATTGGTCGATGACGCATAATATTAAAATGACTTGTAAGACCTCCATACAAGTATGTGCATAAGAAACAATTTTAACAACTTTAAAATAGCTACATATGAGCTATTTTAGCTACATATGAGGTGGCAAATACCGTTTGCCTTGCGCTCTCAGTTTGATTGTTTTCTTTGCTTGATCCAGAGGAAACAACAGACCAGAGATGAGTTTTCTCCAAGGGATCAGACCCTGCCATTGCTGGAACCTGAAACCTGAAATGACAAACCCAACTGTCTACCACTGAAAGATTCTGGTGCCACTGGGTTTGTTATCAAGACGTGATAACAGATGACAACAAACCAGAAACCCACCCACGCCGAACAGCCGTATGCAGCAGAAGAGTGGTGCAACACATGTCCATTCATAGAAAATATAGACCTGTGTGGCGGAAATTGGTATGAAATTGCTCCAAAGCAGACCTTTGGACATCTGTGGTTTGCTAACACTTTACATGTGCAAGTGTGTATGTTACACATAGCAGGTCTGATTTGCACATCTGATTAACTGATTGAAATTAATTTAATGTGTTTTTAATTAATCTGTATTAAATTAAATTAATTGGTATTCATTAATTATTCATTAGGCCTATATAATATTATATATTAATTTTACTTAGGCCTGTTTTAGATATAGGTTCACTTTGTTTTAAGGTAGCGTGTTACAGTGAAATTATGCATTTAGTGTAATAAATAATTAACATGCACATAGAGTTAGGTTTAGAATTGGGGTTTGGTTTTGGCTTGGTTGCATTATGCATCATTTATAGTTAGGCTATTAGCCGTGTAACTACGTCACCTTAAAATACAGTGTTACCTTTTATTTTAATCGGTAACACTTTATTTTACAGTGTTGTTACACATACCATGTAAATAACAGTAAATTATGCATAATTACATGCAACTAACCCTAAACCAAATCCTAATCCTACCCAAGTACATGTTGTTAATTAATATCACTCAATACCTAAATATATAATTACACTGTATGACACCTTAAAATAAAGGGTAACCTTTTAATGTTGCTATCTGTAGCCTATTTCTTGTACTTTTTTTTATTTTAGATATCATAACACGTTTCACTATCCTATCACATGTTTCTGTAATTTATTACTGTAATTGAGTTTGAGTAATTCTTCACACAACAAAAAATGATTACAAGATCCTCTAATAGGCATTAAATATGTTATTACGCTGCAAAACGAACAGTAATCCAGGTTTTTGGCAACATCAGAAGGGAAGGACTTGTAGGCTATACCGTTCCTCTGGATATTAGCCATGAGTTGTGCTTGTGTGCAGAGGAGACAGACAGTATTATCGTTTATTTGATCTCCAACGGTTAAATGGTGCCCGTGTCTGCACTATAGAGCTTCATGTTTATAGTTTTGCAGAAAATCTTTGTCTGAGTCTCAGACAGGCGTTTCTGATAAATGGACGCAAGCACTTTTCTCTATGAGCGAATCAACACTCCCTTATCCATCCCTGCAATAATTGGTGAAATAAAGTAAACTGACTCTGCAGCTTATGGAAACTGCTTTATATCACGATGATTTATTAGGCATCTCCTCTGCTGCAGTTAGTGACAGTCCTCATGACGGATGGAGCTGAAAACTAGCAAATGTTTTCGAAAGTTTACCACGATTTTTTTTTTCTGAGACAGGGGTTGCTTGAATAATTCGTCTTGTTTGATGCATGTCTGTTAAATATTATGACAGACTACACGGTCAAGAGAAGAAGAGGCACAAACTCCCACAAAGAGACTGCATCTGAAGGTTTGTCTTTCAACAGCGCATTTGGAGCAGATAAAGAGTTGGATAACGTTCTTGAAAACTTCCTGTAGGCCGACCTGTTTAGGAAATGATGGGGCAGAGGGGTGAGATGGGTGTTATCTAAATGAGTCTGCTGCAGTGATGAAACCATAGACCTCTTCATCGCTGTCAATCACTTCCAAATTTAACACCTCCTGAAGGAAGCTCATGCCATAAGACCTCTGGGGATTTTTAAATACTCTTTATTCAACACATTTTGACGAAGAGGCAGTTGCGTTCTTCAACTAGGCTATTTGCACTCTTAAAAATATATATTTTTTTTATTGGCATGGAGAACCTTTAAAATCCATAGAATCTTTCAAATGCACAAAAGGTTTTTCATTATGGGAAAAAAACCCTTTAGACTATTAAAATGTTCTTCACCCTGAAAACCAACTTCAACTTTTTTTTATTAAAAGAATTAAACATTCACAAATGTTTCCTTTACATGTGATTGTGACGTTGTTTGAAACAATGTCTTATTGTGTTAAATTAATATTTTATTAGGCAACATTTAACATTTCGTTATTTATAAAATTATATATAACATTTCATAAAGTATTTATTCATTTGTTTATCTTTGGTTTTATCAAGAACACGTTTTTTTAATAGCATATACTTTCTTTGCCTGCTACATGTTTTTAACTGCAATAGTTTTATATTTTAACTATTTCAAGAGCTTCACTTTTCCCCAGGTGTTTCCATTGTTTGTTCGTGAGTTTATCCAGCAGTTTTGCGTCATCATATGGATCACGTGTCAGTTAAATTATTAATAGGCATGGACAGAGTTTTAACATGAAGGAAAGAATTTTTAAAGCGACATTTCATATCAGTGCGGATGTCTTTGCATTTGTGGGCATTGCTGAAAATTATATTTTATTGTCATGCATTTTGTATTTGACCCCTAAAAGTCAAGTGCACATTTATAATTCAGTCCAGTATTGAAATAAATTGAAATGATCCAAAGTCGTAAGTTGCTAAACAAAACATTAAGGTTTTCACTGTTTATGAAAGAAGTGTCCTAATCAAGGATACATTTATTTGATCAAAACTTCAGTAAAACAGTAATAATGTGAAATATTATTACAATTTAAATAAACTGGTTTCTGTTTAAATAGCCTACATTTTAAAATGTAATTTATTCTTGTGATGTCAAAGCTGAATTTTCAGCATCATTACTACAGTCTTCAGTCGCATGATCCGTCAGAAATCATTCTAAGATCATTTCTTTATTATTATCAAAGTAAAAAAACAAACAGTTTTTGCGCTTTTTTGTGGAAATCATGATGCACTGCCAAGTTTGTTATTCAGCAAAGGCACATTAAATTGATAAAAAATGGCATTAGCCTAAACACATTTATGAAATTTATAAAGGTTACAAAAAGTTATATTTCAAATAAATGCTGTTCTTTTGAACTTTATTCATCAAAGAATCCTGAAAAAAAATCACTGTTTCCATAAAGATCATTATTTGAATGATTTCTGAAGGATCATGTAACACTAAAGTCAGAAATAATGCTGAAAATTCAGCTTTGCATCACAAAAATAAATTACATTTTACAATATATTACAATAGAAACCAGTTCATTTAAATTGTAATAGCATTTCATTAGCCTACTATTTTTACTTTAGATCAAATAAATGCAGCCTTGGTGAGATTAAGATATATACTTTCAAAAACATTAAAAAAACATTAGGGCTAATGTTTTCAGACTTTTGACCGGTACTTAGGCCTATGTTTAGATATAGAATATGAAATATATTGAATGAAGAAGAGAAGAAGAAAATCATTACGGTTATTTTAAACCTGTGCGTTTTGTCATCACATCATTTGTCTTCCATTTCTCGGGCAATAACAGTTTTCTTTATGAACTCATGTTCAGGGCTTTGGCAGTGGATTAGTCGGGGCAAACAGTAACATGATTGCTCCCTCTGGGAGTCAGATGACCTGCTCTGCTTTGGATGGCTCAGAATAGTTTTGACTACTCGCTCACAGTCACACTGAAACATGCTCATATGCTCACATTTCAAAAAGGCTTTAACTATATTAATCATAATTAAAAGGGACTTTTGCAGCTGGTTCCTCCCGTATGATTTCACAGACCATCCGGCTGCTGAGATCATGGAATCCCACTGGATGTGAAATTTAGACTCCTGGACAAGTGAATGTCTTCTAGGCAAAATTCCTTGTAGATGGAGACCAAATACATATTCTTTATATTATTTATTTATAACATTTTATTTTACAATATAATTAGTTATATATTATTAAAAAATATGTTGCCTCTGAAATTAAACACATATTGTTGGCTATACCTCAAGACACTTTTCTGTCCTGTAGTTTTGCTTAATCCGCCTCCTGGTGGCAGATTTTAACATAGCAGTGTCAGTGTTTCATTCAGGCAGGCCTACTCACAGTCAACAGGCACACAAAAAAAGCGATCTATAAAAACATATTTAAACAAATGTCCATTTTGCAGTTTAGGATTTAGCAAATATATTTAATAAAGATCACACTAGGCAATACAGCTCAGGGAGACGTTTAAAGTCGCCATGAAACGGAAGTTGCTAGTCGTAGTTTGGCTATATCTTAATACGATTAACGATACTGGTTACTAACGTAACCTCGGTTCTCTCTAGAAGAGGGAACGAGTATTGCGTAAGTTTAGCTTACGCTGCGGGAAAGATTCATCTTCTCGAGATATTGAAGCCAAAAAATTATCCTTAATTTTGTGTTTGTTGTCAACGCAGTGCAGCAGCAGCTAGCAGACCTAGGCCCAATCCCAAATGGCACACTTCATGTGCACTTTCGGTCTTGTGGACTTACAATGGCTGCCGCGTGCGCGTGTCCGTTAAGTCCGTGAGACCGTAGTGTGTCCCATTTGTCATTTTTAGATCTCAAAAGGGTGCTCGCGAGCGCCCCGTGTGGTCGCTTTGCGCCCTTGATCCGCACTTTTGCCGAGCCCGTGCTGATGTGGACTCCACAGCAGACGTCTTCCCGACAGTCAAGGCGGCATTACGTTACGAAAGTGCGGACTCAGAGGAAGACCGCGAG